CATTTAAATCTTTCCAGATTGCACTGAAAACAGAGCAGTTGCTTAATTTTTTTTTGCAATCTTTTCTGTAAATTTAGTAATTTTATTCGACCATAATTTATAACCCACATTTTGGGGTCATTACAGGGAGGGCATGCATAAAGTAACAATTAATATATAAACCACATTCAAGTAACATGATATTTCAGCAAAAATAACTAAGTAAATTAAAAAAATATCGAAGTCAACTGGTGGCATGACGAGAAACATAGAACATCAAGATATCGTGCCAGGTATCTCTGGAAACGTAGCTGTCTAGGAAATATTCCAAATGCCGTCACGTCGGTGCATTCACAATAATAGAGCTAGTCTATTTTATTTTTTATTGATGCAGGAAAAAAAAAAACGAATACTTAAGGGGGGACGTGGCAAGTAAAACTAATTTTTTTATTAATGTACTGTTTGTGATGAAATTTGGTGTGTGTATGTGGATGATTGTGAGGATTCCAATATGAAAACCGTTTCAATACCTCTTGTACTTTTTGAGTTACAAGCATAATCATACTAATTAATGCTCTTCACACTTAAGAGATAATTTTGGTGAATGAATTATTTTTTCATATTATTATGTTCCCAAGCATCATCTTGTGCAAAGAAGCTATTCGTTGATTTTCTAGTTCTTGTTACATAAATAAAATTTCCAAAACATGGATGTTGTTTTGCGCACACACATCGCAGTAATTATAAAATGTGTTCTAAAAATTTTAAATGATGAGTAAGAAGAGAGATAAAGCTTTATTGCACTGCTAAAGCCTCCTGAGCCTAGTGCAAAAAACGGACGACTCTATCAGTCTTTGTTAGAAAATGACAGATGTTCTAGCGAAGCACATAGGCGAAAATCAAGAGTTAGAAAACTGACTTTGAAAGCTCACTCTTGTTTGGAAGTTCACAACATGCCTAAAACACTCAGAATCTCCTGGGCAGTAATCCTGAGATGCTGTGGCCTTGGCCTCTGTAGAGCGCAACCCAGTTTTGCGCTTCTTTGTCGTGGAACAATGCGCCTTTTGAGCCCTCTTTACCCTTTTGGCATCCTTTTCGGCTGCTCGCCGCAAAGAGCAGTCTCCTGGATTGAAGCCCAGTTGAGCAGTGATCTCTTGCAGCACACTCTTGCAGCCACCATTGAAACGGCAGACTGCATCTGCAACTGCACTTTCCACACTTCGAAGGGAGGCGAACTGGCTCTTGGACTGGAGTGACCAAATGAGGCTGTTCATACTCTCCACAGCGTTCTGGGTTTTTCCCTGCGCACACCTTTCAAGGAGCTCTTTGTTCGAGAGGCGCTTGTAGATTGGCAGCAGTGCCACTCGCACGTGAGGGGGCAGTTTGTTTGTGAGGCGGCAGCGGCTCTCCCTTGGCCAATGCCTGATTGTGCGGGCACCAGGAGTCGGTCCCACTTGGGCACAGGTTGTGGTGTGGATCCTGGTCTGTGGATGTCACATGGTAATAAGTGGCCATGATGGCCCTCTCCATGCCAGGAACATCGTTGGGGTGGCCCTTAATGGCCCAGCCATAATAATTCGTCAACTTCTTTATCAGGCCCTGCGTCAGCCGGCCTTTGCCACCCATGCTCAGTCCTCGGCCTTTGGATTTGTGCTCATCAAGAAGGCTGCGCAAGGAAGTGCCCATTCTTTTTTTCACATGGTTCACACACTCCTGTTTCTTAATCACCATGTAGCCATACACCTTGTCTTGCGTGAGGGCAAGGTACGTACGGCTGTCACCGTCGCAGAGCACATTGATGTATCGAAGCTTGTACTTGGTAAACGATCTTTCAAACATGATCCTAGCTGCTTCTACTTCCATTTGGCCTGCATTAGCATCGGTGTTCTTTTGGCACTGTGGCTTGTGTTTCTCAAGCCACTCCTCATAGTTGTCGTCACCAGGCTTGGGGCCAACAGCACAGCCTTGGCAGTAGTTGGACAGGACACAGTGGTCCAAGACCAAGCCTGTGTACAGCTCGATTACACAGCCCACGCCAATATGACTTCTGTGCCCCTCGTCATCCACGTGCCGTCGTAAATGACGTCAATGTTGCCTGGCACTCCTCCTAGGTCCTTGTAAATGTCATGCACCTTCTGTGCACTTTCTGCTTCAATGCGGGTGGCAGCTGATGTGGTGGCAGGGTGGCTGTACTTCCTTTGCAGTCTCTGGTAGGACTTGTGGTGCAGTGCTCGATGCGAAATGTCCATCGCAGAAAAAATGTCATTTATGGCAGATTGTTTTCTGCCAACTGACTGCACAGCCCTCAAAGCACGCACGTTTACCTCAAAGGGGTTCGTTTTTTGTTGCCCGGAGCACCTCGGGGACGACCACGCGCTGTTCACTATGCCACAATTGTCACAAAAAAGTTCCATCCTCGCCGAGAGTCCAAGGCAGTGCGTAGTCTTGAGGCGTATCGACCCTTCGTCGCACTTGTTGCACTTTACTGACGAAAGCAGACCGTTCAGCATCTTCTTATTTACAATGAAGAATGTGGAGTCCTTACCGCCGTCATTTTCGTCGCAGCCTTCGTTCAGAAGCTCGAGCTTCCGCTTTGAAGCGGACTTCGATGCTACGGCATCCAAAACATCCCGCCTTGTCTGCGCCCGCTGAGCGATTTCTTCACTGCTCGGAATCTGGGCCGAAACGAAACTCGCGATAGAATGTTCGACGCGCGCACGCCCGGAGTTGCGACGGCTGCCGACGCGGTGCCACCGCAATCGGGTTGGCGAGAGCGTCCATCACGGTCGACGGCATCCGGCGGTCTGACATACGACGATGTGGCACCTTCCACACTCTCGGCCTCACAACAATCAGCGAAGGGTCTGAGTAGAGGCTCCGTGACGCTTGAAGAGCATGCTCCGTCCGGAACTGCGACTGGGACGGCAGCTGCAGTCGTCTGCCCTTTGTTCCAAGCTTTCCGACGCTTGCCGTACTTGTGGACGCTCCGGAACTTTTTTTGCGGCAACATAGCACCGCAGTATGAGCAAGCACTGAGAAGAGACCACCGATGTAAACAAAGCTTGGTAAAAAAAGCGCGCGAACTATCACAAAAACAGCAAACTGGCAAAAAACGAAGCGCACGCCGGATGATTCTCGACACGGCGGCCGCAGATGCACTCGCGCTTCCAAGGTTGCCAAGGTGCGCTGCGCAGCTTTGACCAGTAAGAGGTCGTGCCTGCTACCACGTGACCCGCGCAGCCAATTGCCGTTCTTCGTTTTCGTTTTTTTTACTTGCTCCTCGCGCTTTTATTTTCACTCGGCGAAATACGAGACTGCGACCATCGGGAAGCCGGCTTTCTCCTCTTTCCAAAGCTACCAAAATGGCGGCCCACGGTCAACAACTTGGCGCGTTTGTGCGGCGTGAACAACACCGTTTCAGGGGCTTTTTTTTTTCGCACTTTTCGGCGACTAGCCTCGGCAAAAACACTATTTGCGGGATTTGTAGCGCACGTTTCGCTGTAATATTTTAGAACAAGGAAGTTGAAGGTCTGAAGATTACGAAAAAAAATAAATCAGAAAATCGCATATTTTGACCAAAATCGGCACTTTACTTGCCGCGCCCCCCCTTAAAGATGTTTGGGGGGTCGCATAATGTGTAATGGCTGCAGTATGATTTATTCCTTTGCCAAGTCTACCGGGTTCTCGTACGTATATACTTTTGTCAATATTTATTTAAGTTTAACCCTTGCATAATTGAAATAATAATTATATTCTGTTCCTATTTTGCTTATTTTCAAGCAACGCCAATTTACACGAACTTAGCATCTTGGTAACAGAGTCTAAATTTTTATACCTGATACATGTACAATTTGGCTGCGGGTTTTTGGGTTATGTTTAGTTCAGCGATTAGGAAACTACGGCAGCGTACTCTAGAGCAGGACTATTAATAGCTTTGTTTGCCATTAGCTTTGAGGGCTTTGGTAGGGTTTTTCAGCTTTATTCGAAGAAAACATAGTTTCTTGTAAGACGCAGAACACACGTTTTTGATCTGGCCATGCCAGTTAGATGTCGCAACACCAAGGTATCTAAAACTGGTGGCATTCATCGAAATTTCACTGTCAGCATGATACTGAAGAGAAAAAAAAACCTTCTTCTTTCGATCAATAGTGTCGTGCCCCATTATAAGGGACACTGATGCCAGTTAGATGTCGCAACACCAAGGTATCTAAAACTGGTGGCATTCATCGAAATTTCACTGTCAGCATGATACTGAAGAGAAAAAAAAACCTTCTTCTTTCGATCAATAGTGTCGTGCCCCATTATAAGGGACACTGATGTAAGAGACAAATAGGTGGGAGAGACAATGGTGTGCTTACATCCAAACGGGAGTTGGAGAGTGGACCTCTGCTTACAAGAGATATCTTGCGCACATCTTTTACTAAAGGGGTTCAGTTTTATGTGCAAAGGTAGCTTTGAAATTCAAACTAGTGCACCTTATTATTTTCCAAGGCTGCAATGCCTGTTTTTTTTTTTTTTTTACTTAACAGCACTGTTTGAGAAACCTTGAATAGACACCTTGACTGCCTAAATAGTGGCTGCATATTTGATTGAACATACATGGAAGACTCCGTGTGTGACTATAGAGATTTGTGTGTGTTTGCAGCATTTCTAGTGGCATGAACTTGTTGTGCATTTGGTTGAATTGGTTCTAAGGCTTATTTGGGCCTAAGCTGATACATTATTTTAAGCCTTGCTGTTTGACGTTGGAAGGCCTGTGCCTTGCGTTATGAAACCCAACTGACCGAAGAAGTTCTAGCAATCAATTGAAAGATACAGTATAGAACTATTGCAAGTATTCAGAGTTTCTTGTTTTCAGCATTGTGCACCAGTGCAGTAAGGAACTGTATACCATTTATGCTATAAAGTGAATGCGCATTATTTAACGAAAAAAGTGATCTCTCTTTGTTTCTTCCCTCTAATTTCTTCCCTTCCCTTTAATTTCTTCCCCTCTAATTTTTTCCTCGTTGTGTCTCTCACAGGTGTTCTGGCTAATACCTCCAACCAAGCGCAACTTTCAGCTGTACGAACAATGGGTTCTTTCGGGGAAGCAAGGAGACGTCTTCTTCGGTGAAACAGTGGAGAAGTGCGGCCGCGTCACCCTTAATGAGGGTGACACTTTCTTCATTCCCACTGGTGAGCTTATGGTGACTTGATGAAAAAATGAAATAATTGTTCGGAATCGTCAAGCAAACAGAAGCACGAGGTTCGTAAATCTATATACAGTGGAACTTTGATTATATGTCTCCTGGTTTTGCGACGACCTGTATTCTACAGTCCAGCCTGCTTATAACAAACCTGAGCCCTACGCGGCATTTGTTAGCTGTATCCCGAAGTTCGTAGTAAATGAAAATCGTTTAAAGAAGTTCACAATGCCCTAATCCGTGCATGGTTCCGCGGTGTCGGCATCATCATTGGCCGTAATTAAACCATCGCAACGGATGTCCCACCTGCTCTCCGAGGTTGGAGTCGACGACATGCTGCCACAAATCGCTGCCGGAGTGATCCTGTTCGGAAGCTTCGGGCTCGGCATCGGGCCTGACGTCAACAGTCGGTTTTGCGAAAACAGTTTCGCGCGCATTTAGCCGTCACCGCTTCCCACAAAATATTCACCATTTCCACAACCGAATACAGGGACGCCCGAAGCTGCAAGTTGGCTGCCAGGTAGTCAACAGCTATGAGCAAATGCTCCGCAACATGGCACCTAACGCGCGGATTACGCTCAAGCCAAGTGGTCACTCTTTCGACGTTTTGTTGAGCAGCAGGAAAAAGCGTGCAAGCCCTCCCGTCTGCCATCCGGATCACACACGCACACCAAGAGCGAGCAAGACGCGCACAGGCGACACACATGCCAGAACAGGTCTGGGCCCGTTTCTCGAGCTAGCGTGGCTGGCGTCGCAGAGCGGTGAAGACGGGCGAAGGGGTTGTGATCAAGAGAGGAAAGGAGATTCGCAAATCCTTGGGCAAGGATTTGCGAGAGTGATGAGATGGTAGGACATGGTGGGAGGGCGACCTTGAAAACCAAAACACACGCGGGAAGGAGATAGGTCAGGTAGCTTGCTTGAAAGGTCCGCGAAACAAGCAACTTTCAAGTAGAAAAACTTGAGAGTGCCTCCGCGCGCAGAAGTCAAAGCATGGCCGCCTGTATCGGTGTGGGCGGCGGTGTTCAAAGAATTGGCAGTCGTGGTCAAAAAATCATTTTGTTGCGCTGGCGGGTTTGCGTGGTCTCACCGACTTCAATGTTTCGCGATTCTAACAGCCGTTTTCACGCTTCTGAGCTGAGTGCGGAGTGAGCAAGAACAGGTCCTAAACACAAATTGAACTGCGAATTATCAGAGTCGGTGGGGTAGCGTACCCGTGTGCACTAGACGCAGACGATCGGATGCAGTCAGTCGGTGGCCGACAAGTCTTCGAAATATCAGTGGCAGTGTGAAAACACGGGCCTCGTCTGGTGATGTGGGTTGCTCAGAGTAAGGGGGGGACAAAGCACGGAGGGGTGCGTAGCAAAAAGCGGTCGGGGAGAGCGGCAACTAGAGGGCCACAGGGGCAGGGTCGGCGTTTAACTACAAGTATGTATGGGCACCTCGCCGATGCCTGATGGGTGGTTGAAAGTAGTTTCCGGGGAAGTCGGCTGAGCACCGACCTCGTTCGCTGTAACCGATCAGTGGCGCTCGGTGACGTTCGTTGTAAGTGCGATTTTGTGCCATTGAACCAATGTATATTTTCACGGTCACGCGGATATTGTACATTTTAAACGAAAGTTCGTTTCAAGTGGGTCCGTTATATGTAGGCTCAACTGATGTCAAATCAGTTTGGTTTGGTTCTGGCAAAATCCCCATATAGATTAAAAACCTTGGTTATATTGTTACGAGTAACTTCTTTAATAATCTATTTAGAACGCACAGAACTCGACGATCAAGATGGCGCCAGTCCAGCATCAAACGCAACTCACTTCGTCCTTCTCTTTCATGCAGCCGTGTTTAGCGGCTGTTATGCATCATAACCCCCGGCCGTAGAAGCACTGTCCTGGTGCTAAATTTACGCAGATGATGTCGAAGGGGGGTAATAGGGCTTTAGCCGAGCCACGTGAACAGTGTCGCTCGGAGCTGACGACGACTTTGTTGGATTGGTTGGAACAATCTCGTACGAGACGCCTGTCACTTGGCGAACGATACGGAATGGTCCTGTGTAGGGCGATAACAGTTTTCAGACAGTCCCACACGCCGAGTAGAGGACCAGAGGAGCACGAGAGAACCCGGGGAAAAGTGCACGTCCCTATGGTGAGAATTGTAGAGCTGTTGTTGGTGTGCCTGCGAAGCCTGTAGATGATTATGGACGACTTGGCGCGCGAGGTCGGCGCGGGCAATGGCTTCCCCGCATATTCAGTGGCCGCAGGTAGCAAAGTGTCTAAGGGTAGAGTTGGGTCCCGGCCATATAGGAGATAGAAGGGCGAATAGCCGGCAGTGTTGTGAAGAGATTAATTGTAGGCGAATGTCACATACAGCAAATGAATGTCCTAATCCTCGTGGTCTGGCGCAACGTATTTGGCAAGCATGTCGATTAGCGTCCTGTTGAGGCGCTCCGTGAGGCCGTTTGACTAGGGATGGTACGAAGTAGTAAATTTATGCTTGGTATGGCAAGACCTCAGGATTTCACGAACGACAGCTGATAAGAACGTGCGGCCACAGTCGGTGAGAAGTTGGCGGGGAGCACCGTGCACTAATATTATGTCGTACAGCAGAAAGTTCGCAACGTCGGTAGCGCAACTGGTCGGGAGTGCTCGTGTGATTGCGTACGGCATCGCGTAGTCTGTGGCAACAGTACTCCACTTATTTCCGACTGTGGAGAGTGGAAAAAGGCTCGACAGGTCGAAACCAACTCGAAAGAAAGGTTCAGTGGGAACGTCGATCGGCTAAAGGTAGCCGGCCGATAGGGCAGACGGCGTTTTGCGACGCTGACAGGGCTCACAAGCAGCGACACAGCGTCTAACAGAGTGGGCAAGTCCAAGCCGAAAAATCCGACGTCGTACCCGATCATATGTGCGAGAAACGCCGAAATGGCCCGTCATGGGAGCGTCATGAAGTTGATGCAGGACAGTGGAACGCAGGTGCGCTGGGATGACAAGAAGTAAGTCGGATCTGAAGGAATCAAGATTACGGCGATATAGGATCCTGTCTTTCTCCAAAAACATTCGTAGTGACTGGTTGCGAGGCGTTGACTCCAGTTTGTCAGTCATGGCTCGTAAAGAAGCATCCCGATGTTGCTCTTCGCCAATGTTCAACAGCTGCGACACAGAAAAAACGTCCGTGATAGCGTCGGTATCGGTTGCTTCGTCAACAGGGTAGCGGGATAAACAATCCGCATCTTGATGTAATCGCCCTGTTTTATACGTTACAGAGAACGTGTATTCTTGAAGGCTTAGGGCCCAACGAGTGAGACGTCCTGTGGGGTCCTTAAGGGAGGCTAGCCAGCAGAGCGCGTGATGATTCATGACAACACGGAATGAGTGCCCGTACAGGTATGGACGAAACTTGGTGACTGCCCATACAAGGTCGAGGCACTCGCGCTTCGTGATAGAATACTTGGCTCGGCTGGAGATGGCAGTCGACTTGCGTAGGCTATAACACGGTCGTGTCCCCGTTGTTGCTGCAATAGCACAGCTCCTATGCCGTGACCACTGGCGTCCGTGTGAACCTCGGTTGGGGCTAATGGATCAAAGTGAGCCAAGATTGGTGGTGTTGTAAGCAGTGTCATAAGTTGGGAAAACGATGACGCTTGGTCATGGCCCCAGATAAACGAGGCGTCTTTCTTCAAGAGGTCTGTGAGGGGGCGCGCAATGGTCGCAAAGTCCTTAAGGGGGGACGCGGCCCTTGAAAACCGAAAAATCGCGAAAAAGTCGGTTTTTGAAAAACCACATTTTTGGGTTGTATGTCTCATAAACTATCTATTCTGTAATTATCAGCACCTAATTCAACCGCAAAGTGCACAAAAAATTACTATTTTCGAGGCCGCCGCGGCATCCAATACAGGCGCAAATCCCGAAATCAAACCAAACTTCGCGCGCGCGCCATTCCCGGACCATGCGGTCGTCCCGCGCCATCTTGGTGTTGTTTTGACCGTGAATTCTTTCTCTCTCGTTCGCCGCCTTGCAAAATGGCGTCGGCAGCGCAGTTGAGATGCTATTGGCGTTTTCCCGCGATGCGATGCGGAGCGCTGATTGGCTGGAGCAGCGCATTCATATCTCGCGGGAGAAAGCGTGCCCGCCATTGGCTGCTGTGCAGCAGCGGGGGATGGCGCGTCCAGCGCGCTCGCTTCGTTGTTGCTCTCTGCTCCGTCCGCCTTGACAGACGTCTGCTTACGAGCCGCTCTTCGCCTTGTGCTATCTTTTCGATCATTTTCTCTCGTTTTTTTTTTCTTTTTGCACTAGTTCTGTGCCTTTCGTCTTTGTTGTTGCGGGCGATGCCGGCAACGAAGCCGAAGTCAGTGCGGAAGTCCGGTGCGCGGAGGCGCGCTATGCGGCTTGTACGATCATCGAAATTCCGCTATTCTGCTGCGGGTGCCGACTGCGTAGACGCTTGCAGCGACGGAACTGTGTTGTCGGCTGTCGCCAGTCGAGAATCCGACACATCGAGTGTGGCTGGAGCCGCAAATGCACCGAGTGTTTCCGAGATCGCCGGGCTCGACATGTGCTTCGAATCGATGCCATCCAGTGTGACACAGAGTGTTTCTGATATCGCCGGACCCAGCACTTCGTCTGAATCGGTGCCGCCATCGAGCGTGAGTGGACCGTCGCTTCATCTGCGGACGCGTTTCCTAACGAAGGAAGAAATCGATGCGAATGCGAAACGTTGTGACGCCGTTCGCGCTGAACTCGAGTCTACACCGGCGACGCAGAAGAAATTTCAACTGATGCAGCCGGCTCTTGCACCTGCAGTGACAAGTGAGGGCGAACATTTTTCGCTCGTTCAAATGAACATCTTTAACGTCGTGCTCAGCCGCACAGTGTGCAAAGAATGTTTGAAAGGTGCTATGTCTGTCCGAGAGAGCACCAAGCTTGGACTTGCAACAAAACTTGAAGTCGTGTGCGCCTCTTGTGGCACCGTCGATAAATTATGGACATCACCCCGCAAAAATGA